TGGAGGCTTCTTTGATACCACTACCCTTTTGAAAACAATTTCAACATCGCCATTAGACATTTTTCTAAAAAAGGTTCTGTGGATTGGATCGGAGCAAAATTTGTATTCTCCTTATGAGTTTGCTCATAGCTCGTTATCCAAGTTTCAGGAATAAGTTTGAGCAATTCTGAACGAGAAATTTGTCTGGGCACATATGTACAACTAGGTACATGATCTGACTCTACATTAAGTAGTAGAGCATCCTTTGTTCCCTGGGACTGCGCAAAATCAAGGGAATGATTTTGAATTCTGTACACCATCTGATAATGAAAAGTAGCAGCATATGTGACAGAAGATGGTACAACTCCAACTATTTGAACTTGAACTTTTACAGCTGTAAGTAACTGTGGATCTGATATGGGGATATTGAAGTTTGGAAACATAGTGACCAAAACAGTTCCAACATTAAGAGTTGTTTCTACTGTTCCCATGCAAGTATGTTGATACTCAGTAAAGTGAGTATCAAGCAAGGGAATCCTTGAAACTGTAGGGAGACATTTTCTTCCATGAAGGGTTAAGGTAAATCTGACAGCACCAAAGTGAAGATGAGTATAGCCCACGGATAACCATACTCTAGGAAGATAAGAGGGTAATTCAAGTGTAACAAACTGTTCTTTTTCTGTAGCAGGCAGAAGATGTTGATCAAACTTTGTGGCTTGGACAAATTCTTTAGCTTGAGATTTTTGAGGAGAGATAATGCTACAGACAGTTTTAGAAATAGACTGACGAGATTTAACATATGGGAAGTATGGATTTACAAGAGGAAGATCTGTGAGTGGGACTTTATCAGACTCAGAAAGATAGGATATCTAATAGAGATATTTCATCTTAGAGACATCAAATTTTTTAAAAGAAGAGGAATAAGAAGAGGAAACTGAAGAGGATTTAGACAAAAGGATTTGATTAGAATTTTCTGATGAAGACATGATTGAGAAGACATTCTTTCTTAGTTTTTCCAGTACTTGATAACATAACTTTCCTGCGATGCATTATTGTAGGCGATTTTAACATAGAATTTTGGAAGGCTATGAACTAAGACAAATCAATTTGAAAAGGGGGTTAAATTCACTGGTGGTCACCCAACTTTATATTTTGTGTCATCATAACTACCTAATTTGATTTTATTTCACCAATGCCATCTAATTTCATATAAAGTTTCACTATAGCACCCAATTTCATATAACATTTCACCATGGACACTCAACTTTCTTTTACCATTTTCATTAATTAGGGGTAAAACGGTAACTTTACATTATATATATAAAAAAAAAATTTTTAAAAATTAAAATAAAAACTTATTAAAAAAAAAAAAACTTAAAACATTTATTTTAAAATAAGTTTTATTTTATTTTATTTTTTTAAAGAACATTTTTTTTCTAAAATAATTTTTTTTATTTTATTTTCCTGACTTTTTTTAAAATAAGTTTTTATTTTATAATATTTTTCTAAGTAACGTTTTTTAAAATAACTTTTTATTTTATTTTAATGTTTTAAATAACTTTTGTTTAAATAAGTTTTTATTTTATTTTTTTGAAAATAAGTTTTTATTTTAATTCTTTTAAAATTTATTTTATATATATAATGCTAAGTTACCGTTGTACTCTTTTTTAAATTTAAAAAAAATGGTAAAAAGAAGTTTGGTGGCCATGGTGAAATGTTATACGAAATTGAGTGGCTATAGTGAAACGTTATATGAAATTAGATGACCATGATGAAACAAAATCAAATTGAGTGGCCATGGTGACATTATGTACAAAGTTGAGTGACCATGGTGAAACAAAATCAAATTGGATGGACATGATGACACAAAGTATAAAATTGGATGGCCACCAGTGAATTTAACCCATTTGGAAAAAAAAATGTTTTGGATGCAATCAATTTTGCAGTCTCAGTTTAGACATTAATATATTGTTTGAGCCCCATTTTTTAAAAAAAATCATTTTTTTCAAAATTCATTTTCAACCACATTCTGCAATAAAATAATATTATACGCAAATCCAAAACTTTTCCTTAATTTTAACCATACATCATCTATCAATTTACTATTCCAAAATGCATTTCCCAAAAATGGGGCTCAAACAAGAGCTAAATATCCAAGCAAAGTCAGTATCAAATTGTTTTCGACATTGTGAAATTCACGGAGGAATGACCTAACTTAAACGAATATGCATGGATGAAGGAGTCATTAATGAACTTGAGACATTGATCAAAGATTTTGGTTACCATGATAAAATCAATGTAAATTTCATTTTGGATTATCCTAGTGAAGATGATGCACGATGAAATAGCTGTAAGTTCAGAGATTTCAAGTTTAAAAGAAATAGTTATTACCATCACGAAAAAACATGTTTATGACGAAGTTGAGAATACAATAGCTTTGAAACCTATTACGCATAAGGAATCTCTCAAAGCATCAACGAGGCTTGCATAATTTATTATTGTAAATTTGTAATTCGATAATCCAACCCCCAGAACTTCTAGACGTAATTAGAAAAATTAGTATTAAGATCCAACTAGATTTAAATTTCAAATAATAACAATAGAGTCATACTTTGAAAAAATATCAAAGTCAATTGTATTTTTAATTTTAACAAATTATTTATTTTATCATAATATTAATTTTTGATATGAAAGGGACAAAAGAGTTATATAATAATAATGATTATTAAGTTACAAAGATTAGCTATGAATGCTAGTTTATAATGCAGAGTGTACCATTTGTCCACGCATGTCTCCAAATCGTTGACAAACGGGGTTGCTCGACTGAAAGGATGGTTCAAGAAATTCTCCCTCTTACTTAATTGAAGTCAAAATCAATAATTAATTTTAATAACATATTTCGTGGATCTCACAAGCTTTTCAATCACACATTTCATCAAATATCGTGACCGTTGTTTAAAAATCTTGACTGCATAAATATTGCTAAATTGTTAATCCGACTGTAAAAACAGGAATAGAGTTGTTGTATGTTGAGTTAAATAATTGATTCAGTCAAAGTTAAGAGGTTAATGTTAATAAATGTAAACAAAATAAAAATAAGCAAAAGATTAAAATTAAGAAGCTCAGAAACGCCACACTTTCATCCATTAATTCAGATAAAGCGACAGACCCAACCGTCGCATGGGGCGTAATTATCTTCATCGCATGCACCAGCCGGGAATCGAACCCGGGTCTGTACCGTGGCAGGGTACTATTCTACCACTAGACCACTGGTGCTTTTTGTTTACATTGGATGAATCAATTTATATATACACACACTCTATAAATATAAAGAGTCAATACTCTAATTTGATGCTAACCCTTTATTTTCTGTGTGTCAATCGATGAGTCACCTTTTAGAACATTGATAATAAGATTATCATCTTATTTATAAGTGAATCACCAACCTACATTCGGATTGCACCTCCAAAAAAGTGAATATTGGCTATTTTTCACTATAACAAGGCCAAGCACGGTCCACCTTTGAAGTCGTCGTTGACATGGGCAGTGCTGGTCCTTAGTCAGTCAAAGACTGTTTGGAGAGGCTAAGACATCCAGAAAGCTATTATTGGCTAAGACATGAGCAGTGCTGGTCCTTAGTCAGTCAAGTCGGACCTTAAAAAAATTGAACATAATAATAAAGCAGGGCCACCTGACCGGCCTGGCACGGCAACATGCTTTACCACGATAAATGAACAATTCAAGTCAAGCATTGCCAGTACACCTCTTTCAGGCTAAGACATCTAGAAAGCTATTATTGGCTCTACACTTCTAAGTAATGACGCACAGCCACATTATGCACCAAAAGTGACGGTATACAATGGCAAAAACAAGTAATAAGAAAAAATGGGAAGCAATCCATGACTTCTCCACTTTCACGAAGAAATTTCATAAAATAAACGCCTCTCGATAAAATTTCACAAAATAGTCAAGTCTCGTAATAATTACTACTGTGAAGAAAGCAATATAGAGTAACGCACCCAAAGAACTGTGAATTGACATCATATTTACACGTTTGCTTATTCTATTTATCTTTCCTGATGCATCAGAACCATCAAATTCAATTAAGTTGCTTTAACAAGAAAGAGGAAATGCTCTGTTTTCTTGCCTGTAGTTTGCACTGTGTTCTTTTACAAGGCAGCTCCAAAGGTTTTATGAACTGAATTGTATACCTGTTCATGGATAAATATTCAGCAATATACATTCTTTGAGTGGGACCCGCAGGCCAAGACAAACCCGCATGTGTGCACCACCACTGAAGGTGCAAAGCAGTGAGGAGAAAATACATAAAAGGTTATTGATAATGCAGGTTGATTCTAAAATAAGCTAATTGTCCCTCAAGTTAAGAGTAGTCATGATGTTCACAAGTCATCATGTGAAATGACTAATTAGGTTCTAACCATCCTCGTTAAAAACTCAATATAAATCTTAAGATTCTATTATTCTGACATTAAAAAACCCCAACTCTATGTGGACCTCCGGAGTTGTCAAAATCCTGACAACTGGTGAATTCTTATGTTTAGGGACATACCGTACTAAAATTCTGGAAATGAGACTTTAAGAGTGTTCAAATTCAGTTGGATATTATAAATGAGTTACAAATTGTTTAAATTCAAATTGCTTGTCTAGCTTTGAGTGGCAAGCTGAGCTCCAGTAGCTCATTTAATTTACATCATGTTTTGCTAGATTTTAATCCAATGGAATGAATTGAGGTAAAAGAAATCCTTTTTGAATAGAATGGGACCTATGATTATTCTTGCTCAAAACGCTCCAAGCCATCCTACATAAAGTGCCAATTTCCATAACTTGGATTTTTGTTACCATTTTTATTTACCTTTGCCTCTTCCCTAATAGCAAATAACCAGGAACAATTTCTCACTAAAATAATATATAGGAAAAATAAATTATAAAGCAGGGATGTTAATGTAAAAACGCAACGTACCAAGATGTCTGTATCTTTGATTTTTGAACTAAAGATTGGATCATAAACTTGCAATGGGCATATTATAGAATGTAGCACGAGTTATGAATGCCAGTCGCCCTGATTCCTTATGTCTAAACTCAACTGCAACTACTGTCAAGTTCCTCCCACTCCTTACCACAGACCCATCAACAATTACTTCAGCCTGTAATGAAAAACAACAAACATTAAGCAATGTTTAGAATAAATTTGGAGTTGGCTATATTATTCATGTCATAATAATTTGACAAAGTTCCTTTACCCAGATTTGAGACCGACTATGAAAAACACACGCGGAGTCAAAAAGATATTTCAAAGAAAAGGTTACGAATGAAAAAAATTCAGTTTTTATAACATAATCAGAAAATATAAGTATGAAGGCCTTTTCCAGTCGAGCCATTAAGGATTAAACTCTCAACCATCCACTCCCAGCCTTTAGCATAAAATACGTGTCCATAAATTCATCTGCGTCCATTGGACTTCACGTCGTACACAGAAATGTATTGTCCCTTTTGATAGGTTACTAAAGATACCTGAAATAAGGATTTGCAAAACGCAAACCTATATTGAAGGGAAGAATGCTTTTTTAATATCATAAAATTAAGGCACATTGAGTGCTTCAAGAACAATGGAAAGAACAAAGTCACAAAAACAATTTTAAATAATGCTTTTCCACTGATAATTGGTGAAATGGACTGATGCAGTCACCGCACCTCTCCTAAGAGAAGAGCTTAAAAAATCTTTGCAAACCTAACACATCACATCACATCACAACACAGTAGACAATAAATTTTGTTTGGGACCAATTTCCCCCTCTTCCCCTTAAAATCCTTTACATATTATCGAAATATTAGAATGGCCTAATACATATATAAATGCCCAACAGGATGCATATCGAGTAACAGGTAATAACTATTCACAACATACGTTTTATGCAATAAAAACATCAGCTAGTGCTGCAACTAAATTAAGACTACAAAGCCCAAAAGACTCACATTATGTGGAGCGGCAGAGAGATAAGATATGCTCAATCCTCCCAGGAAGAGACTCTTATCTTTTCCACAACTGTTCTAGCACAAGCAATTGCCACTCTTGCAGCCACAGCTCCAACTGCTCCTCCATGCAATCCACCATAAGCAATTTACATATCCAACCAAATAATTGTAATACGCCATTAACACAATGTTCACATAAGCTTAAAAGGTATATGTGTAAGTAAATAAGTTTGTTTCAGAATAAATAACTTTTGTTATTTGTCAAGGTTAGTGGTGTGCTGTCGTAGGCACCCAAAAATAGTCTTTAAACCTCTAAAACTAATGTAGTAATGGAAGTAAGAATCGATCCCACGAAGAGTGTGTAATTCAATAATTTATGCTTCGTATAACGATTGGGGGGTTTTGTTTATAACGAAATCAATTTTATAACAAATAACAAAGTAAATTAACGAGTTGTATTAAATCAATGAAACGAGTCTTGATCAAAGTCAACTTTCACCATTGGAGATTTATAACCATTCATCAATCCACA